CATTCGATCGATATTCACCTTCTGGAGCAGCTTTCTTTTCAGGCTTCATGTCCAGATACGGCAGTGGAACGATGCTCACCAGGGGAAGTATCTAGCGGTTCACCGTCGTCAATCGGTTTGCCACCCCCAACTATCGACGAATCACCTCCACCTCAACCGACGACAACTACGACGATGACAGCCAGATCACCCAGCAACAAGTCGTCTGTGTCAGGGAAAGCCGGTTAGTGTGAAAGTTTTGAAAGAACAGTCTGTCTTGTAAATCAGTCGTATTCGGTTTCCGAGTGAGAAAGTTCGAGAAATCGAGCTTGATACAAAAATGGGTGGAAGTGGGTTACCGCTAGAAACCATCCTTTCTGTCTTGTCGTACCCCATATGTTTTCGACGTACCGTAAACAAGGGTTGTTTTGTTTTTTATGGTGTTTTCCGGTCCACTTTTTATGCCTTGTGTACGGTTTTGGAACAGACATGCGACCCTCGACCTTTTGTTTCCTTTCTCCCCCTGGCTGAACTGGTAAATACAACGACTGCCTTTGATATCACTCAATATTACGCGCTATCACTGAGTATCACCTATTATCACTGCACTAACCTAGTCAAGACTTCGATTTCATAGATTCTCTATGTCAATTGAAGAATTGTCAAGAAACTATTAACATTATGACAGAAAATTGAACTTTGAGAGAACGTTGGATTTTTGCAACATCACCAGGACTACTTTCAAAAACTTTGATATTTAAAAATCTTTTTGAAGCTGTAAGCCTTGGTAATGTAGACGATTCACGTTTTGAGGAAAGATTTTTCCGAGTTGAAAGAGGAATTAGGACAGGTTTTCAAGTTTCTCATTCTGTCCATCCCTCCATGTGAGATTTTTGAGAAAAAGACCGATCTTTACGGCGTCTTCATTTCTAAACCCCTTAATTTTTGATTACGCGTAGTGTCGCCATATCCTTAGAGCTCCAACCGGACTAACCGGCATCAATGACATCGTTAGGAGTGATAATGAGATGTTTATCGTAATCCTCCGTCATCTCTGGCCGGTTTAGTCCGGAAGTCTGAGAGCCTACATAAGGCCAGAGAAAGTCGGGCTTCCACTTATTAGCTCACAACTGCTCACCTTCCTCTATGAGCGACCAGAACGAGTTTTCTGAGTTACTACGCCTATATGGGAACTTTTACGGTACAGGCTCGATTCCATCTTTTTTTTCAGATGTCATTCAAAAGGTTGTCATTCAACTTTTATGGCTCTTTTATAAGTAATTTTTATTGTTCTAAGTGACGTTGAACTTCTATGGGATTGGCACTTGGGTTACTGTAATTAGTCAATAGTGAAGTGTTTCTGAAAGAACTTCTGGTTGGTTACAATTATGATTGATATCCTTAAATCCAATTATCATATTTTTTCACTCTTTCAAAACTCCGCCCATCTTCCTTTTTACCTGTCCATATGCTCACAACCAAAGGAGCAAAGAATAAACCTCACAGGATCATCATCCTCCCAAGAATGGCAACTAATATAAGTAGTAAAAAACAAAGAGATGAATAATCAGCATGAAGGGAGTCACTCTATTCTCCTTGTGAATCAGTACATAAGATCAGGAGGGTTTNACCTGTGAACTCCTAATCTACTGTCTAGTACGAGCTACTTAATTACTAGATATGTCTCACACCATACCTAATTGGTTACCCTCCTTGAAAAGTTTGAAGCTGACTCTTAGGGTCATAGTGAGGACAAAACGCAGCCGAGTAAATCTGAACAAGTTCCGTTTGATGTAGGTTTTGGTGGTGCTGAAGCTTTTCGCTCCAGATTCCGTACCGAACGACAGTGGTGGCGAGCCACCATCGACACGAGTTATGGAATCATCGATGCACTCGTCCTACTACAAGTCCGCATTTTCAAATCCACAACTTTCAAAGAAAACTGGTAGCTCAGACACATTTGTTATTGTAAGTTCCATCCCATACCTTTTTTTTATTCTTATTTTTCTAATTTTTCATTAGGTCTCCCAGTAAGTTTCCTACTACCTTGTTTAATCTTCTTGAATTTCAACGTGCACGTCATCATTCCTTCCTTTAGTGTGAGAGTAAGATCCTTCCCGAATGACCTGTTGCCCGGCAAGTCAACTAATTAGCTCTTGGTAGGACATCTAGCCAAAATTGCTACACGCCCCTAATCAATGAGGACTCTTGTGTACACACACTCCTTCAATTTGCTCATATCAGAGAGTTCTCGAATAGGGCTATTTCTAGCATAAACTCCGAAAGTTAGGCCCAAACGGAAACAGTTCATCTAGAGCTGAGGCGGGCAAATGAAGGGAAAAGGGCGCAAAGTGCATATCCCGGATTGGATTTCCTCTATTCCGATCTGACCGTGACATGAATGCCGAACGAACTCCTTCTCAACAGCTGGTCATCCATCCCTCCTCGTCCTTCGGGTTCCTAGATTGGAGGTAATGATAAATATAACCACTTAGATGAAGAATTCATGTTGGGGGCGATGCAAGGAATTTGAAGAGTAACTAGTCATCAAACGAGTTCCGGGGTTTTTTTGGCGAGCGCCACTTGAAGTAAGGCACTCAGACAATATATCATACCAGTTCATGCCACTCCGGTTTTCCATCATTCGCGGGGCCTACTTTTTTCATACATATGGTATGGATTTTCCAGATGTGCCCAGCTAAGAACCGTCCCAACTCATACGCAGGGAGTAACAGCGGCATATTGAATGGAAGTTATATATCGTAGCAGGGGGATGGGATCACAATTCCAAACTTTCTTAATAGCACGGAACCGAAAGGTTTTCGGATTTTCGGAACGATCGGTTTTGAAGTCAACTATAAATCATAACTGGTAATACCGACACCTACGGGACCCTAAAATGTTCGATAACAGCCTGGGTTGTAGAAAGGAGAGTAACCAGAGTGGAAGAAAGATGAAGAACGCTCATGGGACGAGTAGGGTGCCGTGACTTCCAGGACAACCCATGCTCCGAAAGACTAGGTTTTGCCACTACGGGTAGGACCGGTTTGCTCGTTCCCGTCCGGAGAACCCAACCCCATGCCTTCTTCCCAGAGAAGAAAGCTTCTTGAACTTCTTACTCTCTCTTCTTAATTTTTTACTTCCCATTACTTTTTCTGTGTGACTCCTAGGAATTATTGGGTCACTATAGATCGCTAGCGTCCCTACCTGCTCCTCGATAAGACTCCCATACCCCCTTTTTGAATGACCACAGATGAAAGTTTTATTAATAGATACCTGCGCGAGAACGAAGGTGCTACGTGCGTTCTGGAAACCTACCTGCCACGGTACCATTACCTGACCTGATTCCGTAGGTTACCTATTGTGGGTAAATGGTTCAACCTGTTCCAGGACTAGTACGCAAACGTTGAAGCTGATCTGCCTTGTTCGGTAGAGGTTGTTGATAAATTGATCATGACTCCAGTGAGAGCTTCCCAACTCTACCCCCTCTGCCTTTGCGGTTGACCACAGTCTCCGGTCTTATCGCGTAGTGGAACTGGTTTTTTGTACTTAGCTCGTATAACTTACTTTCAGTCCACCGCTGACTCACCGACGAAGCATTCGACGGTTACCGTGAACGCCATCAACTGTGCACCATCTGTATCGTCCACGACAAGTCCAACTCATCCACGACTTCATAGCTCTCGACGACAGCACACAGGTCTGCCATTGCTTTCTCAGTGTCGACCATTACATCTTTTTGGTTACTGCGGACAGGGAGAAACGGGCTTTTTGCCACTGGTGACCCTGAGAACGGCATTCTCAAGGTTTTGTTCTGGTTGACTCTCATATAACCTTTGAGGCACTTTTCATGTTGTCTTCTATCTGTTGGCTCAACCTCTGCAGCGGTGTTTGTTTTTGAGCTTAACCCCTCCCGTAAAAAAGGTTTCTGGTGGAGTTACCCCTTTCTTTCAGCGGCTTTTACTAGTTGCTCCTCTACCACCCTCGCCCTCTCTCTCTTTTACCAATCTGACATTTGCGATTCTTAGGTGAAATAGACGACCAGGGTTGAAAAGGCTGATCATTCAGTGGTTTACTTACTTCTCCTACGGTCCTCTTAGACGAATGCGGAGAATTCTGGGCCATTTCAAATTCTCATAAAATCAAGTAGCTCTATGCTTTACTAAAGTCTCAACAACATGATTACCCTGACTGTAAGCCTTGGTACCTCAATAAGTCGCTTTTTTCCACAAGCTGCACTTGTAATTTGATGACTATGTCATTTTTAGAATTTCTACCTCAACCATTTTCCTTTTTTCCTTTTGATAGCCCCATAAAAATTTACGAGAACGTTATGGGTTTTATAAATGCCATATTTAAGGTGGCACAGAAGTGTTCGGCTCATTTCGATCCGATGGCACAATGGGTGCCGCCGACTCTCAGTGTCCTATCGAAGAGGAACGTGAAGCGGCTCGTGAAGCAGCCAGACTTTTCCGGCTGGAAGGCTGTACAAAAGCTGATGTTGCGGAACGACTCAACGATAGGTACCGTCTGAATAATTCTTTTTTCCTTTATTTCCCTCTCTTGTGTTTTGCGTAGCCTGTAGAAGGCTCATTCCGTTTGCTGTATCCTAGACCTCAGCCATAACTTGTTGTTAGTTGCAGCTTGGGGAATAAGGAATTAGGGTATTATGGCGACATCAACTTTTTCTGAAACTATAAACATGGTCCGGTAATTAAATCTATGATGGACAGATTCACTTCAGCTAGGCTTTCCTTCCTAACAGACACTACGGGTCCTAAATGGTGTCAGTGTCGCATGGGTGGATAAAACTCTGACCTATTTGTCGGCGGGTTTCAGAAGTCATTCTATGAGCTAAATACACATTTACTCTTCATTAAGATTCTGATCAGAAGCCAGATGCAGGGCGTACTCCAGAAGGGCTCCAGTAGTGCTAAGGACCTTGCTCTTCAGTTTTATTGGGCCTGCAGGAGTTGGTTGTGGTGGTTCATTGATGAAGTCTTCAAGAATCTTCATGAGCTATGAAGAGTGCTGCCGGATCAGGTCTACCTCTTCCGCATGCAAGATCTTTCGGCATCCCTCCTTCACCCAAACTGTACTGCCGACTTTCTCGCAGTAGCATGAATATGTAAATCCTTATTTTCCATTCCAATGGTCAGCTGTCTAATGATTCCTGAGGACTCCTAGAATCTACTCACTCATGTCAACCCTCCTGCATGTTGGTGTCAACACAGGATGAGCACGGCCAAAGACTATTAGCCATGTTTCCGATGCTCCATAGTAGAGAGGGTGGGTGTTACCCACATCAGAGTGCGCGTCGCTCAATTAACCGATTAGTGGCAGACTGGGAAATTCGAGGACAACTTCCCATATGTGAACCTAATCTTTATTACTTACTCTGCTTAGGGCTCAGGTTTATTGAAATTCACACGTACATGAATTTCCGTAATGCATCCACTCTTTTCCCACTCGTCCGACCTTTTTCGAAGAAGGTGCAACGGGGAATCTTCATTAATTTCTATTTTATTGAGTAATCCAGCTTGATACTTATTGATAATGTGATACTTAAGGTCCGAGTTCTCGGCTATGGTTACAACAAAATATTTGGAACTTTTTGTCTTCACTAGTCTACGGATAGATGCGGCTCTGAGGGATTTCTTATCAAGGTAAGGTTTCTGCTAGCTATTTTTTCCTCTGTTTTCTGTTGCTTTTCTTTATTTTATATTTAAATTTTTCTATTATATGGTTATTAATGTTTGGTGTTTTTGATTTACTGATTAATTTTTTTATTGCTCATTCACGATTTTGTTGAATATGCGATAAGAGTTTTGCAGCCTAGTAACCTTGTTACCATGGGGACCATTTTCTGCGCCGATCTATGATCCCAAGCTATCATAGCCCTTTTCATCTGCTCATCATTTTTTCTCCTTCACCTCCTCCAGTGTCTTACGTACTCGCATACAGTGGAGTAACTACAGTTATAGTAATGGTCTACAGGGAATTCATGGGACTGGAAGGTTTTTGTGGTCATCCGATTGTCATCAGGAATCCCAGTGCCATTCGAATGGGTATCTGGTTATAGAATTAATGTAGGAGCTGCTAACTAGATCTCCCGTTTCCCCAAATGGTTTTTTTACCATTTACCTGATACCGGAGGGTTCGGGTGCATGATTGGGTCAGGCAATTCTTAATCTGAGATTCGATCTCTGGATTATAGTATGGTTAATAGAAGCGACACTTAGCATAACTCCACCTTGTCTCACCGATCTGGTATCCCCATAATCCGTTTGAGCCTTCTTTGTAATAATATTTCTGTCATAATTAATAGCCTAATCATGGATGGGATATTATTCTTTCTTCATTTACTTTTTTCTTGAATAAATATCGTTTAGCACACTCCTGGGTGTATTCAAATAAATAAATAAATAAATGAATAGGCTAAAGAAGCTGAGTGCTATGCCATACAAGCAAGCGATTTTATTGTAGAAATAAAGTTTCGAGTCTTAGCATTTTCGACATTACGGTAGTCTGGCTTGTTCCAGGGTCGAATTACGCGGTGATTCAGCAGAACGTGAACGCCTTTTACGTTTCTTTTCGGCCCGTTACCATCAAAGCGATCCGAGTCTTTTCAAGAGTGTCGGTAAGTCTGATAATTTCTCATAAAAGTCCGTATTTTGCTTATGGAAATGGCTGCAAGTACGCCTTGAGCACGGAATTTGAAGCGGTTGCGTACCGATTTATGGTTTACTGGGGGTTGCGCCATGTACTTGACTTTTCCTGCCAATCTGTTCAAAGATTAGAATGCCTTAATCAATCTAAAAACCATAACTCTCGTGCTTTTCATCCAAATCTATTCATTGGCTGAATGTTCTTGAAATTCTCCTAAGCTGGGATGTTGTTCGTTAAAATTTTTTCTGTTTCCCCGAGATCGTCAGGGTTCGAAGGTTTCTCAGAAATTTTTAGGTGAATATTGTGCTCAGTAATTCGTGATGTAAATTTTCATACATTGAATAAAGCATATCGCTCACGTGTTTACCTTCTCAGATCACCCATCGTTGAGTGCACACCGGTGACGCGAACTAAGCCCCCCCCCTTATCCTTTATAGGTCACTCGCTTGTTCATAGTATTTGGGGACTAGGCCTTGTATTAGATCGTCATGCTGAAAGGCGAGACAACTAACCAGAAAAATTGTATAAGATATAGCGTCAGCGAGACAACTAACTATGAATCGTCGCTGAGCGGATTGAGCTTGAAGCTGCACATTTCTATTCTTTTATCTGAACGGAACTCATTTCAGATGAAGTACACACGCTTACTTGTGCTCTGCTTCTGCTGAATTCCGATTTACACGGTGAAAATCTGGGAAAGAAGATGTCTATACGAGATTTCATCAATAATATCGGTCACACAGGTGTACAGTATAAAAGGGACCTGCTCAAAGCACTTTACAATAGTATCAAGGAGAAAGAAATCGTTCACGCAAGGTACGTTTCAAGCGAAGAAGTTGAAGTAGGGATGCTACGAGGGGGCGGGGCTTACAAAATCAATTTGATTCCGATTTTTGTTATACTGCTGCTGTTAGTAACTTAGAGCTAGGTGGTTTCGGCTGGAATTTTCTCCCCGGCTTCTCTTCTCTTCTTGTTTCCAAAGATCTGAATGCATCTTTAAATTCCACTTTTCCTTCGATATCGAGTTGCGAAATCTGTTGTGAATGTGCAGGGGCCTTGTCTGCACCTAAGCAAGAGCACTTCGGAGCAGGCCTACAGGGCTGTGGGACTCCCACACTCCTTATTTGCATTCGCACGGTCCCATTTAAGGTACCTCAAACCATGGTTAGTCAACCTAGGGTTAGTAATAGGAAGACTGGGGATGACCGAGAGAATTGAAAGACTTGGTTCTTCACAAAGTTATTTTTCAGCAAGTTCGAGAAACCAGCGAAAAGAAGCAGCTCAAAACGATCCTGTGTGTCCCGTCAAGTGAGTCTTACATTAGAGCAAATTTCCAATAATTCAAACTGATAATCGATTCCATTTACAGCTACTTCTCGAAGTTGATCCAGAATCACAAGTCGAATATAAATGCGGCTATATTATGCGAAAATGTGTATATGATGCAGATGGTGCGAAAAGTGAGTACCTTGAAACAATTCTTACTTCTTATTCATTATCGTATTGATTTTATTGACTGATTCCGTATTTTAGCTCCATTCGGTAGGCGTGGTTGGCGTGAATGGTACGCACGCCTCCGCGGACTAGCCCTTTACCTTGGTAGAGATGACAGCGATAAAAAACGAAGCAGGTAGTGTGGCTGACAACCCTTCCCCATGAATATCGATTGACTGCCTGCCGATTATCGATTTTTCATTGAAGATATGAGATGTTCAACAATGCGATCTTACTTCATCATGCTTTTGCGGAACCAGCTCCAGATTACAAAAAGAAACAGTACATATTCCGATTGAGAACGGCGGATCTGGGGGAATTCTTATTCCAGACCACGTAAGTCACCAAAATGTCGATGGTTCTGAAGTCCCACATGAAGTCCCTATTACAGTAGCGTTGCCGAAGTCGAAGATTGGGTCAATCAGATCAATTTCGTTTGTGCCCGGTTCTCTTCAAGAGCCCTGCCGCCTCCAGCTTGTTCAAACGGCACTTTTTCGAGGATCCGTCTACCGAAGCTGCCCAGTTCGGCTCCACTGGCCCAACAACTCAAGGTAGCTTACGCTATCCGAAAAAAGTACAAATATCTCCACATAACACGAATACATGTTTAGGCACATGAATCGGCTGCTTGTGAACTTCGAGAGCAGCTAGCTCGTGTTCGACAGGAGGCACCCCCTCTGAAAGCAAGAGGAAGGCCAGTCGAGGAGTTCTTCTTCAAAGAGCGATATCTTACTCAAGAGGTGAGCTTAGAATCCATCCAAGGTTTAAAGCGCCACTTTGAGCCCGCAAAACTCTCTGAGCCTGACCCACAGCGTAGTAGAGGACAATGGAGTGGCCCTTCCACCGGGGTTCTCCCTCTGACAATACAACAATCACTGTATTTCAGATACAACGCTACGATACCTACTGTCAGCTGCTACGATCCCGACTACCCGGTGGCGGCTGTGAGCTGGGCGGTGCTCCATCTGACTCCACTTCTGGCGTTCATTCCAAATCAGACATTGCCGAAGAGCTTGATAAAATGAGCTACCGAGAAGCGATGAATCACTGAAGCTGGGATTCCGACTTTTNTTTTGAGATTTTACCAGTAATTTCATCGATTAGTTCTCAAAGTTTTCATTGGCTAATGAGAACATTTGCACCAAAAAATCGCGCACGAGTCATTTACACCTTTATGTTGAACATCGCTTTACTCCTGTGACCCAATGCGCTATTCTTCCTCGGTAAGAAGGTTGTACCTATAGCCTTCTAACAGTTTGTTTTCCCTTTTTTTTCGTTCACATATTTTCAGGCCAGTACATAGTAGGGTTCTATTGCTGTGCTCATCGACACTAACTAGAAATAGTTAATATTAACAAGAATAATATAAAACTATAAAGCTAGCTACTATAAATGGACTTGTTCCATGGCTATAAAACGTATTGGCTCAGATTAGCCCGTGAAATTTAGTAAAATCGACTTTAGGCCCTAGGTTTATACTATTAATCGTCGCGTTTATAGTCAGGGAACATTCCATTATTAATTCATTGCCTCTGCAAACGGTATTGTGATGCTTACTTATTGTTTCATGCTACCTTATCGATTTTACGCTTACCGGTCAGAAAACAGGGATCGAGAGTATATGCTCTCTCTGCGTCTCTGACCTAATCGATAAGGTGGTGTTGCGTGTGTTTATGTGTGTGTTTTTGGCTATGTGTCAGCAATGCCCAAACGATTCTCTCAAAAGTGGAGAATCGGTGTCGGCACTTTGGCGAGCGAACGGGTTACCGATCGATTTATCGATTATTTGTTCGTTTTCATACTTACTATCGCCTTATCCAGCATTCTTACCATCCCTCATCATTTAAATCGCCTCTTTACGACATAATCATTCGCTATATTATCGTAAATGCAAACATAAAGAAACGACATAGCTTACTGTACCGTTAAATGGGTTACTGCTGTTTATTGATCGTTATCGATCGATACAGTAATCATTTAGTTTCGATTGCTTTTAAATAATTTCCGGGATTTCAATGTGTATTTGTTTTACCTGTCTCTCCGTCCTTCTTCATCTTCATTTTTTCGTCTTACTAATTGTACTTGTATACTACCAGGTGTTTTATAATTCTATGTGCACGTGATGTTATAAGAACTGCTAATTTCTTTTATTATGCAGATTATTTCTATTTGGATATAAATGCTCAATTTTCTTGCTTCAATGTTGGTCTCGAGCAGATTTTCTGAAGCAACTCACCCAAATGGTAATCAAGTACCACAAGAATTGTTCGAAGGAGCTCGAAATGCAAAAGAAAGACCCTTGCCTGAAGAGCGAAGAGTTGTGAAGGACGAACTTGTTCCCCAACAAACTGGAAAATGGGAAAAGACCCGCCCCCAGAAGAACAAGTCCCGCCTTCACCCCAAGTTTCTTCTACAAATATTATTTTCATGTCTGTAAAATCCATCAGAATAAAATTGAGGGTTCATGACGGCAGATGAAGGAATGCGTTCGCTCTAAGGGAAATTTCGACGAAATCGTGTATAGATAAAACCATTTTTGTTTGTTTGTTTATTGTGCTGATGTTGATTGATTTGAGATCGCTGCTCTAAGGGAAGTTGTTGATTTGATGGCAAGAAGTATTACTCAAACTGGAGATGCAAAGACGTTCTTTGCAAAAAAGCTTCTAGCCACACCCACACTTACGAGGTTAAGGGATACATCGGTTCGAAGCAACCCCTTCAACTGTACCAAAGTACGGAGATGCACACGAATGGGATAGTGCCATACTGCACAGCCTCTGCCAGCTCTCCTATATAGGTTAGCTGAAACCGGAAATTCCTCAATAGAATTTTAAACCATTTCCAACAAATAAAGTAAGATGGGGGTAATCGAAAGGGACAGAAGGGTCAAGTGAGAAGGATTATAATGATTTCCCTTCGTCTGGTCAAATTTTGAAAATACTCGTGTTGGAACGCTAGTATACATGAAGCCTTACGTTATACATATGTTACTTTACTCCTGAATCCAGTTTTGCCATTGATCGATGATGCCATTAATCCAGTTTATGATGAAAAATGGAAGACAAGATCGAAACTAGTGCGACTGAGGTGAAGAAACTGCGTGCATCGGTGTTTCCAAAGTGAAAAAAGGCT